GGGCTGCCTCGGTAATGGCGGACGCCCCTCCCCCACAGAGCTGGACCGTCCTGGGTTCAGCTGCGCTTGCTGTGAAACTCTCAATCCAGAGTTTCTGGTTGCTGTTCTTTTGTGGGGGTGGGACCAGCTGAGCCTGATCGCCTGGCTCCCTGCCTCAGGGCCTTTTTTAAGTTGGTGTTCCAGTCGCCTGTTGAAGAGGCGCCGGGGTCTGTTTGTTTTCTCCTGCGGCCACTCACTGCGCTGGCTTAAACAGCGGCACTGAGGTTTGTGGCGCTTTTTTTTTTTGCCCTGGAATCTACTCTCCTGGTTCTCTGCTCAGTCCCCTTTTTGAACCGGTGAACGGGCGACTTCCCGTGGCTCCAATCGCCAGCCAAAAGGGCACCCAGACTGGTGTATTTTGTACGGAGAACCGGGGCTCCGGGGCGCTGACAAAGCAGCTGCGCGGGGCAAAGCAGCGGCGCTGGCCGGCACAGCCACGCTGGCGGAAACAGCCGCGCTGGGGACCGTGGAGCTCCTCCGCCCGGGAATTTCCTAGTCTGTGGGCAATAAAAACTCGGCGTCCACTCACCCTCTGTGCTTTCACTGGGAGCTGCAATCCTGACTGTTCCTAAACGGCCATCTTGGATCGTCCTCGGGATATTTTTCTTATACTGAGGAACCAGCTTTAGGGATCTTGGTTAAATGGAAGAGAACGCTATTAAATTTCCCACTTTGAGCACTGTCTGAACTTTGTCTTTTATCCCAAATACCTTAGGAGGCTATGAAAACTAAAGCTTGATTATCCTCCATTAAGCAAATAAGCTCAGCAAGTAAGTATATGCAGGGTTCCTTGATTTGGGATTCAACAATTTTTATTAAAGTGTCAGCCTCTCAATGCTTCTACATTGTGTTTTACTTTTTCACCATCCATTTTTGTTAGTATGAGGGTAGGTATATCTACCTAAGTGTGCCATATGAGAGGTTCACGTCTCCTCCCCAAAGCTCCTTATCACAAACCTTCCCGTCATATTCCTTTGAAGCCACTGAGTATCTAAGGAAACTATTAGTGTCTGTCCATGCATTGATTTGAAGTGGAAATTTTGCCCAGGATTTTGTCAGCACGTAGTCAGCAACTGTCCCTATTTTAAAACTGCCCCTATTTTGTTAGTAACTGCCTCTTTCTGGTTCTGTACCTCAGCTTATTGTTTACTAACTGGAAAGCCTTAAGGGAAACTGCTGCATTGTCTACAACCTGCTGCGTTGTCTAAAGTCCTGAGTTACTTCCCCTGCCCCTTTACCTATAAAAACAGTGTGATTTTCTTAGCCGGGGTCCAGACTTTCGGGTGTGAACCCTTCTGGGCACACCAGCGTAATAAAGTGTGTTCCTTCGATCCCCTGAGTGCCGCTTGGGTTTCTTGTTGGGTAAGATTTTACAGAACAGATCTAGACCCAAAAGTAAGACTTTTCTCTTTCTGGTAAACAGGACTTCCAGATGGTCTAACTGAACATTTTCTCACTGAAGTATTTTTATTTCCATTAGTCTTGATGGTGATTCCTGAAAGGGACTCTAATGCCATGACCTTTGACTCTGGGATATCCAAGTATATTCAAATTTTTTTCCTCTACAGTTAATCATCCTAGGGAACTCCTCAAGACCTCAGTAATGAGACAATGGAGAGTGGATTCTCCAGTAGTAATAAGAATACCAGGAGTGTCGTACAAATCATTAGGCAACTTTTCTGGTCCTGTAGGACCTGCTAAAGTCTGATGCTCCATATACCACTTCCCATGCAAACTGAGGGCTGGGGAGCATGATTGACCATATAAAACTCAGGTCATAAGGGGCATCTCAAGTCACTTGGCCATTTCTGTATCATGATCATAGCATTCAGGAACTACCAGAGCCCAGTAGTAAGCCAGAAACTGTTACTTAAATTGAGAAAAAATTGGAATCTTTTCCCAAAACCCTGAAACTTGGGCAATGAATCCTATGACTGCCTCACACACACATGCACACATGACACACACATACACACACACACACTCAACAATGTCCAAATAAGCATTTAGGGGTGAATGGCAGATATGCTTGACTTTTGCCTGGATCAAAATGGCATTTCTATTTACGATGGAATGTTTCTGTACTTATACTAGCTAATAGGATGTTGGATCAGAGAAATCCCCTTGCAGGATAAGAAGTCATAACTTTTTCATTGGTGAGAGCATCTGTCTTCATTAGAGTTTGATAATATCCGTGCAGTTATTTCTCAAACAGTTTGTACTCCCTAAAGTTGATAGAATTCCTCAAGTTAAAAGGACCAGGGCCTCAATAATGGGAAGACTCATTGCCAATGGCTACAACGAGCTGTAGTGTTTATTAAAAACACATTTGAGGGCCTGGTTTGGGGAAAGAATAGAGAACAAAAGCAGTGCTTGCTTTGTACTTCACCGAACCCCTTCCATGGCCTCCATTCAACTTTAGCTGCAGTTTTGGTGACTTGATTCACAGACTGTCAGAAAATTATGAGCTATGGAATGTGCTCTCTCCAATACTGAAGAGGCCAATCATGTGTGGGTGTCCTTCTTTATCATTGTGGGTTGTATAAAGTCACTGATTTCCATAGAAACTTGGGGTCACAGACACCAGGCCTAATCTTCTTTCGTTATTCATTCAATCGTTTTTTTTTTTTTTTTTTTAAACATAGCCTCACTCTCTTGCACAGGCTGGAGTCCAGTGGTACAAACACAGCTCACTACATCCTCGACTGCCCTGGGCTGAGTTGATCCTCCCACCTCAGCCTTCCAAGTAGCTGGGACTACAGCTGTTTGCCACCACACTTGGCTAATTTTTGTGTTTTTTGCAGAGATGGGGTTTTGCCATGTTGCCCAGGCTTGTCTTAACTCCTGGGCTAAAGGAATCCACCCACTTTGACCTCCCAAATTGCTGGGATTACAGATATAAGCCACCGCACCCAGCCCTAATCTTATTTTAATTTTAGAAATCTAACTTGAGAATTTCAGGTGCCTGGATCCATATTTATCTCAGAAGATTGAATTGTGGGCTGGAAGCTTCTCTCCCAAAGTCTCTTTCAGGGTATTACTTCTGGCTATGGGAACATAAAGAGATAGACCAGCAAGTTTTGCTCCAATAGCAATATGTGATAAGAGCTGTAATGTTAAAAGACTCCTTCTGTATTAGGTAAGGACAGCAAGTTGGTGGCCTTTCTTTCTTACCTATGAGCACTCTCCAGCCTCCCAGCAGATAACTGCAGCCCCAGTGGCTCAATGTGGGCAGTTTATTCAGAGCCCAAATCAGCTAGAAATTTAAAGGAGAATTTTGAAAGAGAGCTGCAGAAGAGTTCAGATCAACAATGTGAATGCAATTTATGCTCACATACATCCCTGGCTGAACACTAAACTCTGCATAGGTGTGGGCTACTTGGGAATCTGGTGAAAAATCAGAAAATAACTAGAGTGAAGTTTACCCTCCAAAGAAATAAATGATCCTGGTGAATCGGCAAGTCTGCAGTACCGTGGACCGAGTGCATTTGCCAACTCGCAGAGCTCAGGTAGAAGAAAGGAGAAATCTTATGGGCTTGAGGGGTGAAAGGGCAGGATGTGAGGCTAACAGAACAACTGGAAATTCAAAGAGAATTCCAGGAACAAAGAATCACAAAATCTGAGTATAAATGATTGAAATACTTGATCAATCTCTAAATTACACAGATGCAGGATTCACAACCAGAAACCCCTGCTGAAACTACATAAGATACTACGTGGAAATTCTCAATTAGAAAAAAAGAAAATGAGAGTATTCTGGATGAGGTCCACAGAAGTTTTGAGATGGCAGAATAAAGGACAAGTTTGTGACTTTGAATAGAAATCTCTAGAACTTGCTCAATTCCAAAATAAAAAAAAAAATTATTGTTCAAGTGGACTTTCAAAAGAAGTTAGAGACACAGGATCAGAAAAAATATTTGAAAAAATAACATTTGAAAAGTTCCCAAATTTGATGGAGAAGTTTGGCTCATATCTAAGATGTTCAACAAATGAAAGGAAAGTAACCACATAGAAAATTACAAACACGGTGGCCAAGGTTTTGAAAGATTTATCATAATTTACAAGTGAAATACATGATAAATTTTAATACATTAAAGACTAGCGGAAATGTGTCAGCCAGAATAGCAAGGAATTTTAAATATAAATCAGAGTATCTGTCATCTTGCAGCATTACCATGCTGCTTTAAGTCAAATCTAAAATGATATTTTAAAAAAACACTTCTGTTAAACAATGTATATCTCTTTGTATATCTTACTATATACTACATACAGGTAACATCTAAATAAAATTGTACTTTTAATCCTTACAAAAAGGGGGTAAAAAGAGAAAATCACAGCAGAGAAATAAGTGCCAGCTGGCTGGGCTCCTGTTTAATACTCCAAGCAACACCTGAGACTGGGGATTCCTCCTAGGGAGATGGCCGCCTGTCATCAGGGTTCAAGACTTTGTGAACAGCAGAATCCACATGGGAAGGAGGCTGTGCTCATCAAGCCCACTTGTTCCCACAGGAGGTTTCAAGGTGTCCTCTGTGAATTGCCCTTCAAGCAAGGGTTTCTGGCATTTGTTGAAATCTCAGCCACCAGTAATGCAAGGTGTAAGATTATTTACAACAGTTCACAGGAACAAAAATGATACCTCAGAACTTTATCGTAAAGATTGCATAGGTGCATACACCGATCTAATAAGTATGCAACAGTGGGGAACTGTGGACATGGCCAAAGCAGACAGGAGCTCTGCAGCAATTACAGAGCTGGTCCTGAGCTGCTGTCCTCCCTTGAGAGCTTGATGCCATCACTAACAATGACAGTGCTTCCTGGTGAGTGACTATGGGGCAAAACAGCTTTTCCTTATTTTGGCTCAGGATTAAAATGTGTCCCTAACCACAGGGCCACTCTGCCATTGTCTTGACCTTGGACTTCGCAGGCTCTAGAATTGTGAGAAATAGATTTCTGTTGTTTATAAGCCACACAGACTATGGTATTCCATTACAACAGCCCAAATGCACTAAGACAGATGATCATAAAAATACCAAGTATTTGGAAATTAAACATCAAAATTCTAAATGACAACTTTGTCAAAGAAGAACTCACAAGAGAAATTAGAAAGTCCTCTAAACTGAAGGATATGAAAGTATAAAATCTATAGGATGAAAGAACAGGGTCATGTTCTTTGCAGCAGCATGGATGGAGCTAGAGGCCATTATCCTGAGAACTAACACAGGAAAAGAGAACCAAACACCAAGTGGGAACTCAACAGTGAGTACACATGGACTCAAAGATCGGAACGCTAGACACCAACACTTACTTGAGGGTGGAAGATGGGAGAAGAGGGAGGATTAAAAAACTTCCTATCACGTACCATGCTTATAACCTGCATGGTGAAATACTCTGTACACCGAACCCCCATGACATGCAATTTAAATATATAACAGGTCTGCACATGTACCACTGAACCTAAAGGTTAAAAAATAAATTAATAAAAAATAGAATGCAACACTCATTTGTGATAAAATTTGTCAGTAAATAGGAATACTAGGCAAGTTCTTCAATTTGATAAATGGTTTCTATGTGAAACCTACAACTCACATCATATTTTATGATGAAAATTGATGACTCTCTACCTAAGATCAGGAAAACGGAAAAGATGTTGTCTTGGAGGTCCTGGCCAGAGCATTAACCCAAGAAAAATGAATGAAAACAATGAAGTGAAATTCATTCTTATAAATGAAGAGAAGTAAAGTGCCCTAGTTTGCAGGTGACAATATTATGTAAGTGGAAAATCTTAAGGTAAATAAAACTTCTACAAGTAATAAGTGAATTTATCAAAATTGTAGGGTACAACTCCTATATAAAAGTAAAGTATGTACAAGTAATGTAAAATCAGAATGATGAAAAACTTAAAAATACATTCATAAAACAATCATTAAAGTAATACCATGTTCAGGCATCAATTTTTAAAATAATGTATATGATTTGTACACTAAGATCTACATGGCACCAGTGATAGAAAGTAAAGAAGCTTGAAATAAACAGAGTATTCAAAAACTGAAATTCCAGTGTTATTAATTTTCCAAGACTGAGCTATTAAATTCAGTGCAATATCAATTAAAACACTGGTAAGCTTTAAAATAAATGTTTAAAGAAATTGGCAAGCCGAATATATCATTTCTATGAAAATGCAAATAACTTTGAATAGCCAAAGTAATTTTTAAAAAGAAAAAATTTGGAGGATGCATATGGGGTGATTTCAAGATTTACTATAAACTTCTAGTAATAAAAAGTAGTGTGATGTTGGCATAAAATAGTCATAAATCAATGGAATAAAGAGTACATGAATAGAACCACACAGACACGTCTGATCCCAACTCGATAGAGTAGGCGCGCCCTCTTTTGTTCAGATCTCTGTCCTGCTGCCAGAAGCCCAGACAGACCCAGGGGGGGGTCTTGCCTCAGCGGGTGAGATGGGAGCTCAGGGCCACCCTCCTTAGCCCTGTGGCCACACGGGGGCGCCGCCGCACTGCTCTCAGATTCTCTGAGCAGAAGAGAGGATTGGGCTGTCAGTCAGGCAGAGATGGCTGACTCAGGGCTGAGCATGAAGGAGTCTCTGAGCAGCAAGGGACCCCACAACGGTGAGAGGAGGGGAAAGCTCTAGAGCCTTGTGCGGTCCCTGAGGTTTCTGTCTCCTACTTGCAACTCCCCTCTCCAGCCCTTCATGGCAACACTCTGGAAAATTGAAAACAAGAAACATTTTCTTCTACTCCTTCTTTCTTTTCAGTGCTCCTTCTTCATGTAACAACAATAACACGCACATAACTTCTTTCCAGGAAGGATGAAGGATGCATGAGACTTGACAACGTGCTCATTTCTGGCAGAGAATCTGGGGTCTGGGGAGGGAGGAAAATTTCCCCTGTAATACCTTTGGAACGTTTTGAAGAATCTTTTCAAAACATGTTACACGATAAAATCCCTCTCATTGGCAAGGCCCTCTGCAGTGACAGCCTCAGTTTACCCAGATGTGGCTGTGCTGAGGCCCTCCACAGCGTTGTTCGTCCAGCACGCCCAGGTGTCCACACCTCAGAGCCTCGGCACAGCTGCTCCCCTACCTGGAAGCTCATCTCCAGGGCTCCCTCCCACCCTGACATTCCTCATTCCCACCAGAGCCCTTCCCTGCTCTTCCCACTTCATGTGGCATCTCCCTCTGACTCCACCCTACTTTGTTTTGTTCACAACCCTTTTGCTTACATTTAAAAATTATTTCCTCATTTATTTATCTTGAGAGGCTGGGTTGTGCCCTGTCACCCAGGCTGGAGTGCAGTGCTACGACCTTGACTCACTGTAGCCTTGAGCTTCTGGGCTCAAGTGATCCTCCAAACTCAGCCTCCCAAGTAGCTGGGGACTACAGGTGTATGCCACCGCACTCAGCTAATTTTGTATTTCTTTTTGGTACAAATGGAGCCTTGTTATGTTTCCCATGCTGGTCTCAACTCATGGCCTCAAGGGGTCTTCCTGCTTCAGCCTCCCAAAGTGCTGGAACTGCAGGTATGAGCCACTGTGCCCAGCTACAAATGTATTTATTTTAATTGCTTGTAGTATTTCTGTCCTCTAGAATATAAGCTTTATGAGGACAAGAATGGTGATTTTGATTGTTCACAACTGTATTTCCCTTGCCTTGATTTCAGAATTTTCGTGTCTCAATAGGTTGTGTTTTATTACCATTCACAACAATCTATTTATTTGAACTTCACTTGCCTACTGTGATCAATTAAATACAAAAAGAAGATCGTGGCTATGCTAAGACAATTCAATTATGGCCTCCAGATAACCACCCCAGGTTATGCACCTTCCCCCAGTGACACAGTCAACACTACTGTGGGTGCTGCTGTGAAGGGATTCTGCAGATGTAAGTAAGGTCCCAAATCAGTTGATTTTAAGACCATGATTATCCAGGCTTGGCCTGTCCTAATCAGGTGAGCTCTTAAAACAACTTGGTTCTTCCTCAGCAAAGAGATTCATAGTGTGAGAGAGATTCACTGTGAGGGGTTTCCTCCACTGTGAGCTTTGAAAATGGAGAGGTCATGTGGCAAAGGATGCTGGTGGGCACCAGCAATTGGGAGCAGCTCCAACCCCACCTCCACCTGACAGCTGTAAGGAACAAGGACTATAATCCTACAACTGCCTGAAACTGAATTCTGCCACCAAGCTCTGTATAAGCCTGAAGGAGGAGCCCAGCCTCAAGGTGAGGACAAAGCTTTGTGAAATGCTGAAAGGAGAATCATTCACATCAGGCCTGGATTTCTCATTCAGGAAATGTAGAGAAATAAATGGGTGCCGTGTAAAGTCACTAAGTTAGTGGAATATGTTATGCAGTAATAGATAATTAATACATAACCTAAACAGATAAGAATAAAACATTTTCTCTATTGGAATAAATTAATGAATTGATATGCACACTCCTTGTATGAAATAAAACCTTTCCTAACTTTTTTGGTATTCTTCATTTTATAACTTTTATGGAATGCAATCATATTTTAATACAGTCATATTCATTCATTCACCAAATCTACTATGTACCAAGTATGTCTTTATATACTGTGGGGACAACTTTCACTAAAACAGCCCAAAGTCCCTGTTCTCTTGTGATGTAAGAATAGAAAGTAAGCATTTGAGAGGATTTGCAAGAGTGAGATGGAGCCACTGAAGCCTTTTAAATGAAGAAATGGTACAACCTGGCTCACATTAGCAGGACTGCTGACCACCATGGGGAGAACACTCATGGGCTGCAGGTGAGGAGGCACTGCTGGTGCCACGAGTCTGGAGTGACAGGGTGGTGGGGACTAGGAGAGCACAAGGGCCTCAGGGAAGAGAGGGACAGAGGGAAGGGCTGGAGAAGCAGGAGGTGAGGAAAAGGAACAAAGAGAAAGAGTTCTAAGGTAGTGGAATTCTCATATTTAAATGCAGTGTTTTATAGATTTTTAATACATCTATACTGAGTCTAGCAGAGCGTTCTTTGCATTTGGTATCTAACACTTTCTGTGGGACTGCCTAAAAATGAATGTTGGCCTTTTGTTAACAGGTTTAAAAAATGATGTGTTCCAATAAACTATGCATACAGCTTAGATGTGAATAATTTTTTAAAACAGGCAGTGCATCAGAACTGGTGGCTGGCATTGTGACTGCATTAAGTGGCACAAGTTTGAGGTAATTAAAGCCTCTACTGTCTCCTGGCTGCAATATACAATAGCAAATCCTGCTTCTTTGTATTGAGGAGATGTTCTGGACTCACACAGGAAAACTTGGCTATAGCATGAAGATAATTTTAAGATATGACAACCCACAGTCACAGATACTTAGTGTATTAGTCCATTTTTATGCTGCTTATGAAGATATACCCGAGACTGGGAAGAAATAGAGGTTTAATAGGCTTACAGTTCCACATGGCTAAGGAGGCCTCATAAGCACAGCTGAAGGCAATGAGGAGCAAGTCATGTCTTACATGGATAGCACCAGGCAAAAAAAGAGAGCTTATGCAGGGGAACTCCTCTTTATAAAACCATCAGCTCTCATGAGATTTATTCACTATCAGGAGAACAGCAGGAGAAAGATCTGCCACCATGATTCAATTACCTTTCACTGGATCCTCCCATGAACTGTGGGAATTGTGGGAGTTACAATTCAAGATGAGATTTGGGTGGGGCCACAGACAAACCGTATTATTCCACCCCTGGACCCTCCCAAATCTCATATCCTTACATTTCAAAACCAATAATGCCTTCTCAACAGTCCCCCAAAGTTTTAACTCATTTTACCATTAACCCAAAAATCCACTGTCCAAGGTCTTATCTGAGACAAGGCAAATCCCTTCCACCTATGAGCCTGTAAAGTCAAAAGCAAGCTGGTTACCTCCTAGATACAATGGAGGTGCAAGTGTTGGGTAAATACAGCCATTCCAAATGGGAGAAATTGGCCAACACAAAGGAGCTACAGGGAACATGCAAGTCTGAAATCCAGCAGGGCAGTCAAATCTTAAAGTTCCAAAATGATCCCTTTTGACTCCATGTGTCACATTCAGGTCATGCTGATGCAAATGGTGGTTTTCCATTGGGAAAGCTCTGCCTCTGTGGCTTTGCAGGGTACATCCTCTCTCCTGGCTGCTTTCATGGGCCAGCATTGAGTGTCTGTGGCCTTTTCAGGCAAACTGGGCAAGCTGTAGGTGGACCTATTATTCTGGGGTCTGGAGGATGGTGGCCTTGTTCTCACAGCTCCATTTGGCAGTGCACTAGTAGAGACTCTGTTTGTGGGCTCCCACTCCACATTTCCCTCCTGCACTGCCCTAGCAGAGGTTCATTATGAGAGCCCCACCCCTGCAGCAAACTTCTGCCTGGACTTCCAGGCATTTCCATACATTCTTAAATGTAGGCAGAGGTTCCCAAACCTCAATTCTTGACTTCTGTGCACTCAAAGGCTCAACACCACGTGAAACCTAACAAGGCTTAGGGCTTGCACCTTCTGAGGCCACAGCCCCTTTTAGTCATGGCTGGAGCAGCACAGATGTAGGGCACCAAAACCCTAGACTGTACACAGCATGGGACCTTGGGTCCATCCCATGAAACAATTTTTTTCCTCCTAGGCCTCCAGGCCTGTGATGGGAGGGCCTGCAGTGAAGACCTCTGACATGCCCTGGAGACATTTTCTCCATTGTCTTGGGGATTAACATTTGGCTTTTTGTTACTTATGCAAATTTCTGCAGCTGGCTTGAATTTCTTAGAAAATGGGATTTTCATTTTTATGGCATTGTCAGGCTGCAAATTTTCTTAACTTTTATGCTCTCCTTCCCATATAAAACTGATTGCCTTTAACAGCTCCCAAGTCACCTCTTGAATGCTTTGTTGCTTAGAAATTTCTTCTGTGAGGTACCCTCAATCATCTCTCAAGTGTAAAGTTCCACAAATCTCTAAGACAGGGCCAAAATGCTGCCAGTCTCTTTGCTGAAACGTGACAAGAGTCACCTTTGCTCCAGTTCCCAATAAGTTCTGCATCTCTATCTGAGACCACCTCAGTCTGAAACTTATTTTTGCCAAGCCATTCAAGTCTCTAGAAAGTTCCAAACTTACCCACATATTTCTGTCTTCTTCTGAGCCCTCCAAACTATTCCAACCTCTGCCTATTACACAGTTCCAAAATCACTTTCATATTTTTGGGTATTTTTTCAGCAATGCCCCACTCTTCTGTTACCAATTTATTGTGTTAGTCCATTTTCACACTGCTGATAAAGACATACCAGAGATTGGGAAGAAAAAGAAGTTTAATAGACTTACAGTTCCACATGGCTGGGGAGTCCTCACAATCATGGCCAAAAAAAAAAAAAAAGGTGGAGCAAGTCATGTTTTACATGGATAGCAGCAGGCAAAGAAAGAGAGCTTGTGCAGGGGAACTCTTCTTTATAAAACCATCAGACCTCATGAGACTTATTCACCTTCAGAAGATCAGGAAAAAGACCTGCCCCCATGATTCAATTACCGCCCTCTGGGTTCCTCCCACCAGAGGTGGGAATTTTGGGAGTTACAATTCTAGATGAGATTTGGGTGGGGACACAGCCAAAGTATATCACACAGACTGGGAAGTAAAACTTAGGAGCTTTGTGAGTCTAATTGCAATATTGTTTCAACTCATTCATATATAAAGGGGCAAAATATCATAAGACTTACAAATTAGATCCCTGATCATTCAAGTGTTACTGAGATTTTGTTACCCACTGTGTGAATTAACAAAAAGGAAATTGGTTTCTATGGGAATCTCTCTCTGTGATCAGAGACAACTCCAGGTTTAAACAGAAAATCCCTTTCTCTACCCCTGCATTCCCAAGGCAAGCGCGCTTTCTGGCATCAGGTTCCCTGGAGTGAGTTTTCTTCTAGAATTGTCCTAGGGGAGAGGTAAGGAATGGGAGGCAGGGAATCGATTTCAGGGAAGGGAATTCCAGGATAAGAAGGGAAAGGGAATGGGCTGGGCCCAGCCTGGGGGTATATCCCTGGTTTCCTCAGACAGTTATGGGGTCAGGACTCAGGGAAACAATGTAACAAAGAGAGCTCAGTGCAGGAGAGAGGTGTCAGAGTGAAGCCCCAGGGTCCCAGACATGGCTCTCAGGGTCTCAGGCACCGCAGGCAGTGTGTGGTCCGGGGACGCCCAGGGTTGGGGATTCTCCATCTCCCCCAGAGTTTCATTTATTCTTCTCCCAGCTCCTGTAGGATCCTTCCTCATAGATACTCATAACGGAATCCCAATTCTCATTCCCATTGGGTGTTGGGTTTCTTTTCTTTTTCTTTTTTTTTTTTTTTTTTGACGGGGTTTTACTCTTGTGACCCAGGCTGGAGTGCAATGGCGCGATCTCGGCTCACCGCAACCTCCGCCTCCTGGTTCAAGCGATTCTCCTGCCTCAGCCTCCCGAGTAGCTGGGACTACAGGCGTGCGCCACCATGCCCAGCTAATTTTTGTATTTTTAGTAGAGACGGGGTTTCACCATGTTGACCAGGATGGTCTCGATCTCTTGACTTTGTGATCCACCCGCCTCGGCCTCCCAAAGTGCTGGGATTATAGGCGTGAGCCACCGCGCCCGGCCGGGTGTTGGGTTTCTAGAGAAGCCAATCAGTGTCACCAAGGTTCCCGGTTCTAAAGTCCCCATGGACTCACCGAGGCTCAGATTCTTCTCCGATGCCAAGGATGGGGTCAAGGAGTCCCAAAGCCTCCTCCTGCTGCTCGCGGGGCCCTGGCTCTGATCCAGACCTGGGCGGGTGAGTACGGGGTGGAGAGAGAAACGGCCTCTGAGGGGAGGGGCGAGGGACCTGCTCGGCGGGGGCGCAGGACTGGTGAGTCACGCCGGGAGGAGGGTCGGGCGAGTCTCAGCCCCTCCTTGCTCTCAGGCTCCAGCTCTATGAGGTATTTCAGCACCACCGTGTCCTGACCCCACCACAGGGAGCCTGGCTTCATCACCGTGGACTGCATGGACTACACGCAGTCGGTGCAGTTCGATAGTGACTCCGCGAGTCCGAGGATGGAGCTGCGGGCGCCGTGGATGGAGCACGAGGGGCCGGAGTATTGGGACCTGGAGAAACAGAAAGCTAAGGCCCACGCAGGAGACCCAGCGAACCTGCAGACTCCGCTCTGCTGCTACAACGGTGAGTGACCCCGGCCTGGGGCGCAGGGGCGCCGGTCACGACCCCTCCACATCCCCCAAGGACGGCCGGGACCCCCGAGTCTTCGGGTCTCAGATGCTCCCCGAGTCTGCGGGACCCGCCCAGACCCTCGGAGAGCCCGAGGGTCTTTACCCGGTTTCATTTTCAGTTTAGGCCAAAATCCCCGCGGGTTGGTCGGGGCTGGGGCGGGGCTCGGTGGGCAGGGGGCTGACCGCGGGGGTGGGGCCAGGGTCTCGCAGAGGTTGTGCGGCTGCGACCTGGGGCCTGATGGACGCCTCCTCCGCGGGTATGAACAGTTAGCCTACCACGGCAATAATTACCTCGCCCTGAACGAGGACCTGCATTCCTGGACCGCTGTGGACACAGCGGCTCAGATTTCCCAGGCAAGTGGGAGGTGGACAAATAACTCAGAGCACTTCAAGGCCTACGTGGAGGGCAGGTTTGTGGAGTGACTCCGCAGATTCCTGGAGAACGAGGAGACGGTGCAGCATGTGGATAGCAGGGGCGGTGGGGAGGCTTCCCCATCTCCTGTAGATCTCCAGGGCTGGCCTTGCACATGAAGAGGAGAAAAAAATGGGATCAAGGCTAGAATATCGCTCTCTCTTGAATCTAGAAAGGGATGAATCTTCCTGGGTTTCCTCTGAGGGCCCATCCTGCTCTCTGGCACAATTAAGGGATGAAGTCTCTGAGGGAGTGGAGGGGAAGACAGTCCCTGGAATACTGATCAGCGGTCCCCTTTGACCCCTGCAGCACCCTTGGGCACCGTGACGTTTTCTCTCTGACCTTGTTCTCTTCTTCACACTGAGTGTGTGTGTGGGGGGTCTGATTCCAGCTATTCTGAGTCCCTCAGCCTCCACTCATAACAGGACCAGAAGTCCCTGTTCCCCCTTCAAAAACTAGAACTTTCCAAGAAATAGGAGATTATCCCAGGTGCTGTGTCCAGGCTGGTGTCTGGGTTCTGTGCTCCCCACCCCAGGTGTCCTGTCCATTCTCAGGATGGTCACATGGGCACTGCTGGGGTGTCCCAGGAGAGATGGAAAGTGCCTGAATTTTCTGACTTTTCCTGTCAGACGCCCCCAAAGACACGTGTGACATACCACCCCATCTCTGACCATGAGGCCACCCTGAGGTGTTGGGCCCTGGGCTTCTACCCTGTGGATATCACATTGACCTGGCAGCAGGATGGAGAGGACCACACCCAGGACCCTGAGCTTGTGGAGACCAGGCCTGCAGGGGATGGAATTTTCCAGAAGTGGGCGGCCGTGATGGTACCTTCTGGAGAGGAGCAGAGATACACGTGCCATGTGCCACATGAGGGGCTGCTCCAGCCCCTCACCCTGAGATAGGGCAAGGAGGGGGATGAGCGGCCACATCTCACGGAAAGGAGGAGCCCTTCTGGAGCCCTTCAGCAGGGTCAGGGCTAAGGCCTGGCATGAGGACCCCTCAACTTCCATCCTTTTCCAGAGCTGTCTTCCCAGCCCACCATCCCCATCATGGGCATCGTTGCTGGCCTGGTTGTCCTAGGAGCTGTGGTCACTGGAGCTGTGGTTGCTTCTTTGATGTGGCAGAAAAAGAGCTCAGGTAAGGAAGGGGTGAGGAGTGGGGTCTGAGTATTCTTGTTCCACTGGGAGTTTCAAGCTCCAGGTAGAAGTGTGCCCTGCGTGGTTACTGGGAAGCATCATACACACACACTGGCCTACCCAGCCAGGGCCCTGTGTTCTAGCACTTACTCTCTTGTAAAACACCTGTGACAATGAAGAACATGTTTATCACCTTGATGATAGTGGTGATGGGAACCTGATCCTAGCAGTCACAGGTCAGGGTAAGATCCCTGCTGAGGACAGACCTTAGGAGGGCAGTTGGTCTTATTCCCAAACCTGCTTTCCTCATGTTTACTCTTATGGGTCTGCTGTCACAGTTCTGGAAACTTCTCTGGGGTCCAAGACTAGGGGGTTCCTCTAGGTCCTCATGGCCCTGCATCCTCCCTGGTCCCTCACAGGATGATTTTTTCCCAGTGGTAGAAAAGGAGGTGCTCAGGGTGTGTGTAAGTATGGGAGATGGCTGCGGAGGCGCTCACCTATGCCATAATTCCTCCTGTCCCACAGCTCCTGCAGGCTCTGACCAGGTCCTGTGTTTGTTGTATCCCAGGTGGCGGCAGTGCCCAGGGCTGTGATGTGTCTCTCACAGCTTGTAAAGGTGACATCCTGGCAGGCCTTATGTGAAAGGAGGATGGGGTAGAGGGGACAAGATTGGATTATGGTGATTCTTTGGAACACTTTGACTGTGTGGTGGGGAGTTCAGAGTGGCCACTGACCTGAATTTGTTCATGACTATTCTCTTCTGCAGTGTGAGACAGCTGTCTTGTGAGGGACTGGGATGCAGGATTTCTTCATGCTTCCACTTTGTGACTTCAAGAGCCTCTGGCTTTTCTTTCTGCAAAGTCATCTGAATGTGTCTGTGTCCCTGTTAGCCTAATGTGAGGACGTGGAGGGACTGTCCACCCCCAGTCTACCATGACCCCTTTCCCATGCTGAATTGGCTGACTTTACAAAAAGGAAATTACCATCAATAATATGGATGGACCTCATCCGATCAGTAGAAGACTCTGAGAGCAAAAACTGAGGTTTCCCAGAGAAGAAGAAATTCTGCCTCTGAATTAGAATGCCCCCTTTTTGCATTTTCAGCCTGCTAGCTTATCCTGGAGATTTTCATACTTACTGCCCTAATGATCACGTGAATAAATGTTATAATATGAATACACACACACACACACACACACACACACACACACCATATTGGCTCTGCTTCTCTGGAGAATCCAGACTGATGCAGACTTTGGTACAAAGAGTGGTTCTAGAGGAACAGAATCCTTTTAAAAGTTTTATAGGTAACAATAAAAAATACTTTATTAAAAATGTCAAAATGTATAAAACCATAATTATAAATTAGCAATTAATTAAATTAGTAAATAAGAAAAGAATTGTTTTCTTTTCCTTATACAGTACAAGCAACAGTAATTTGGATCTTACTTTCAGCCACCATTTGCCCTAGTTGTTCTTCACTTAAGTTTCTGGCTGTGTTTTTGGAGTGAAAATTCACATGGATACTAAGAAGTAACTCTAATAAGGTCAATCAGGTATTCAAAACTTCATATGGCATGTTAACATGTGATGATGGTTCACATAAATTCCAACATCTCACCACAGGTAAGCATTATTTCCAGAGGAAAATTAAGTCACCTTTGTAGCTGCTAGTGAATATTGTACAAATGAACACTGAAGAATAAGGCATCGTTATGCTCTGAAGCAGTGCTTCTGTGGCTCCAGAAAACTATACAAAGGCTTTCTTTAAAAATATGTGTATTTTTATTTCATACACACACACACAGACACACACACACACACACACACACACACACGAACTATATATACATACATACACCCTGAAGCTAAAAGTTGAAAAAATAAAAAAAACACAAATATATCTTCTGTGATACTTCAATTACTTCACTCTATTGATTATTTTCTTGACATAGAACTGAAAATATCAGTCAATGATGTGTATTTATACACCTTGCTGTGATTCAAATGCTTATGGACAAAGGGTCTTCCATTTTCTATTGCCACTGTAACACGGTTATTTGTCCCTGATCTAACAACACTTTCTTCAGCTCCATTCTCTTGCCACTGAGATTAACCATCCAAGTGATCTTTTGAGTCACTAAGTGGTTTGATGGGACAAGGTTGATTTAAGCCAATACTTCTGCATGTCTATTTTAATTTGTGACAGATGCTTTTTTTGGATTCATCCCCTACAAGATGAGCTGGAAAACTGCAACCATCACCCAAGCTTGAAACTACTGGAAGTAGCCAGCATTTCTTTCCATGGCCAAAGACTTGTCTCCAGTTTTTACTATTGTCCTGTTTTTTTTTTTTCAACCAACCAGCAGTCACGGCTGAAAAGAGAGAGGACACTGAAGACGAACTTTGCAGGCATACACAAAAAAGGAAAATTATGTGGAGCTTTGCTGTGTGGCTGTCAGTTCATTCCCCTCCACTAGAATGTGGCATTCTCAGGACTTAATGTCCTCCAGGCCCCCAGCTACAGGCAGTGAGCAGCCTGAGAGTGACCTGGACTCCCCTCTTGGAGTGTAATCACACAGCCACAGCCTCTGCATGTGGAGTTGTCTTACACTTCTGGAACTACCTCTCTTGGTCATGTGGCTACTGCTGCATTGTCCTTCCTTCCATTTTCCTTTCTTCCTCTGTCTTGTTGCTAGGGATAACTTTGTCTGTTATCCTGGGTGGCATCATCCCAGGTCGGCTTTGGGTCACTGTCTAAGTGCAGCCCATGGCAGGAGGTTCTGGGAATGAGTGGCACAGCCTCATGGAACTGTCCCTGTGGCGGTGGCCCAGGCGTGTTTGTACTTGTGGCATTTTTATAACTCTTTCCAAGACTCAGAATGTACTGTGGGAGGAGAGCAGGACGGAGTCCTCACCTGCGTCCCCCATCTGCTCATCCAGGAGGCTGTTAAGCTGATGTTGTTGGAAACTAGAAACACTTCCCCTTCACAAAGCACTATTTAGTTTTTCTCTTCTGGAAGGTGGCAGCACAATGCCCAGGTTGAGATGGACACAGGAGTCAGCACTTAAAGTAAAACAAGTGACTCTAACAGAAATGCCTGAGCTTTTCAGTGTGATGAACAAGGTCTTCCGCCCTCTGACAACTGTGTATTTCTCCTTGAGATTTAAAAAAAAAAAAGGAGAAAGGAAGGAAGGAAGGAAAAGAAAGGGAAAGAAAGAGAGAAAGAAAGAAAGAAAAAAAGAAAAGGAAAGAAAGAGAAAGAAAGAAGAAAGAAAGAAAAAGAAGAAAAAGAAAGAAAGAAAGAAAGAAAGAAAGAAAGAA